AACGAAGCTGCACAGCTTAATGAAGACGTAGTCGCAACATACCACAATCTTGCGAATTCGGTTACTACGACCAAAAGCGGCAAACGCACCAGCAAGAAAAAATGGTTTGACCAAAGCTGCAAACATGCTAAAAGGGAAGCCAACAGAGCTGACAGAAATGCCAACAGTAACCCACACAGCAACTTCCTTCGTGACCAGCACTTTCTCAGAAAAAAGGAGTACCGAAAAATCAAGAGGACGAAAAAGGGGAAATTTCTGTACGAGATGAACCAGAAGATAAACGAATGTGGTGAGGTTAACTGGGCAGCGCTCAAACGGCTATCTGATCAGTACAAAGATGAGGAACCCTTTGACATCTACGATCTTCTCCTCTTTCACAAATTCTTCAATGATCTCTACAATCGAAAGTGTGGCGTGAACAATCACTCCAAGGATGATGGCACTTCTACTCCTACGTCCAACGATTCGCAGCCTATCAAGGAATTGGTCAATGAACTGAATCGCGACTTTACCTTACAGGAGATCAAAGATGCGACTAAAAAACTCCAAAACAATAAGAGTGTGTCCGATGACCTGATATCGAACGAGATGTTGAAAAACTCCAATGAGACACTTCAACTCGTCGTGGTAAAACTCTTTAATGCCTGCCTCCAGCATGGAACTTACCCCTGGAACAACTCGATCACAACTCCCCTCCATAAAAAGGGTCAGGCTTGTCCGCCGTGGCTAAATGGATCGGCGGCGGCGTTTCACTAAAATTACACCGGCGGCGGCGGCGTACGCCGGCGTGAGCCGTGAAATCAAGGCCAACTAAATTGAGGTCTATGAGATATGAATATGATCATGTACTTAATTTGGGTAATTTAGACTTAACTTATATTGTTATGGTATTATCTGCTATCAAATAAAAGTTGAGACAAATTGATACAATTATTTTATTTAAGGTAAAATACATAAACAATAAATTTTTGCTGAACTCAATGGATCTCTCAATCTTTTTTGTTGGAAACAAAATCATAGTTTTTAGAACAAAATTAAACAGTGTATATTAATTGAAATTCTTAACATTCATCCTAGATCGCTGACTAGAAAGAATTAAACCTGCAGCCGACCAGGTTCTTTCAATTTCCGCACTACTGGCAGGTATACAATGCACTATTCTTACTATGTTTGAGAGTATTGGGAAAGTTTTTTGCCTATCGGCCCAAAATCTTAAAAGTTCGAATTGTAAAATTTCTTCTTCAGTCAAACTTATGAGTAGGTATCTGCTCAGTTCTTCTGATAATCAATATTGTTAAGTTAGCTAAAGGTGTGTATCATGTGTGTGTTGCCCCTAGCCACTAATTGCTATCAGTAACACTGATATCTTCAAATGAAGACAGAATTATTTTGAAGTCAGAAAATGCACGCCGTACGCCGATGTACGCCGGGGTGTATCGGCGGCGTTCGGCGTGGCAAAATCACCCGGCGGCGGCGGCGTTCGGCGGCGGCGGACAAGCCTGAAAAGGGTGACCGGCAAAAACCCCGATAACTATCGGGCTATTACTATTGGAAGCTGTCTCGGCAAACTCTTCTCGAACCTTCTCCTTAAACGGCTGATCGAATTTAGAGAAACAGCCTGTCCGGACCGACCGTATCAACTTGGATTCAGGAGGGGAGCCCAATGTAACGACCACTTACTCACCTTGAATACCATTATTGAGAAATACACCAAGAAAGAGAAGAAGCGACTTTTCGCCTGCTTTGTCGACTACCGCAAGGCTTTCGATAGCGTATGCAGGGAAGCACTCCTGTTCAAGCTGGGAAACATGGGCATAACAGGCAAATTCTTCGACTGCATCAGCCACATGTACAAGAACTCTTCAACCCGAGTCAAGCTGATTCAAAAGCTATCCGCAGCCATTGACGTCACCATCGGCACAGAACAAGGACACCCAATGTCTCCCGAGCTCTTCAAACTCTATATCCACGAGCTCTCGATCAGACTTGAACAAATCGAGGAATTGGATGTACCTTTATTAAACGGTGTAAAAGTAAGTCACCTCCTATGGGCAGATGACCTGGTACTCTTAGCGCTGGATGCGGGCAGCTTACAGAAACTGCTCAATTGCTTGCATGACTATGCTGAAAAGTGGGAGCTGTCTGTGAATATCAACAAAACCAGCGTGATGGTCTTTAACACAAGCTCACGAATACTGAAATGTGCTTACGGCTTCAAACTAGGCAACTTGGACATCGCACCCGTCAGAAAATACTGCTATCTAGGAATCCAGTTCTCCCTGAACGGTTCCTTCAAGCAAGCAATCGATGAACTTAGGAAGAAAGCTCTTCGCTCATTCTTCTCTCTGAGACGAACTATTGACACGAGAGCCCTTACCACTAGCACGATGCTAAAACTCATTGATAGCTTAGTCAAGCCAGTGGCCACATATGGATGCCCTATTTGGCTGCCATCAACCAACATCGTGAAAGCCATCCTCTCAAAAAATCAAGAAGCGAGTCTTCCCAAAGCAGCAGCAAAAGATGCTCTTGAAACTACTCACTTGAAAATTCTTAAATGGATATTGGGTGTCCACAAAAAGGCAAATAACAACTTCTGCTACGGAGATACAGGTAGAACCCCCTGGACAGTAACCGTCCTCCCTCAATGTATTGCCTACTTCTGTAGAGCATCACAAGCGGTTGTAGGTAACGTGAACACCCTCTTGCACCATACATTTCAGGAACAGAAACAACTGAACCTTACCTGGTATGATGCATGGTCTACTATCATCAAGACGAGCACTGTCGCTAAGCCACACCTACCCCACACCCTTGCGGCTCGTGAACACATACACGAAACATTTGTCAACCACTGGAAGAAGGATCTTCACAACCAGCCTAAAATGTCATTCTACACTGCGGTCAAAGCTGAGTTTGGTGAAGAACTGTACTTACAGCTCCCATGCAGGGTCAAAAGAGCTAACATTGCAAAACTTCGATCTAGCAGTCACGATCTGAGGATTGAGAAAGGTCGCTACACTGGAGATCGCTACAACACAGCACTGAAAACATGTCGCTTTTGCTGCTCCTCAGACACCGACGTCATGCGGTTCTTCGAAGATTTACCATTCTTTGAAACACCTATCCTTGAAACCGAGGACCACGTTATAAATGAATGCCCCAGCTACAACTCCCTCCGGTCCAACCTCTCAGACAACCTTAAAAGCCTCATAATGCTCAAAGAATATGGGGCCATCATGAACTCTTTCCATGCTACTGAATTTGGAAAGTACCTCACAGAATCCTTTCACCTTCGACATCCTCCTGAAAAGAAGTCCTAGTTATCACCTCCTATGAAGTCCTAGCAATCACCACCTAACAGACTCTTCAAACCTTCGAAATCCTATGATTAAGTCCTAATCCTCGCTTCACGTCCCCTACTCATCTCCTTCAACGTCCCATCACCTTATGTAGTTTAACATATCTCCTTGGACTTGCTTTTATGCACACATCCAGAATTTCTATTAGCATTTAAATTATTATATTTGATTTTATTTCCACTTCGTGATATTGTAACGCGGTTAAATTTTAAGATTTTATTTTCATACTTTTATTCGGCTTTTGTTTTATATATGAACTTATTTATGAATTGATGTATAGCCAAAACGAGTCCGTTAGTGTTCTCCTTGGTAATTTCAAGTTTAATTCCAGTTTAATTCCAGTTTAATTCCATGACTGAGTGCTGGATCACAGGTGTGAGATCTAGGAGATGTTCACTTAATTTGAAGAGCCTGGTTACATGAAGAGATCGTTAATCGAGATAAGGATTTCAAATATAGGACGGTCAAACGAAGCAGGGCTGTTGCTTTAGAATTAGAAACTTTACTCATAGCGGGAATCGCACTGAACAATTTACAGATCGTCACATTCAGATCATGTGCCTAAGTTATAGGTTATATTTCCCCAACCGTGCGTTAACCGTGCCTTAAGCGACCATAATGGTTGCTTTTGGGCAGTTTGTGTCTTAACCGTGCCTTAACCGTGCGTTAACTGTGCGTTAACCGTGCCTTAAGAACCGTGCCTTATGTAACCCTTGTGCCTTAACCGTGCCTTAACCGTGCCTTAACCGTGCCTTAACTGTGCTTTAACCGTGCCTTAACCGTGCGTTAACCGTGCTTTGCCACACTACTGAATTGCCGGAAACGTAACTCAAACTCACTTCGACAGGAAGCAGGGAAGTTGTTGGTTGAACTTGAGCAAGTTACAGTTGTCATGGCAGAATTTCCGTATAGATATCCTTCATCACAAACTATTATAACACCCCCTTCTTCTCTTACTCGATGCTCAGGAGAGGTTTCAAATACAAACTCCATACTAGGCACCGTGCAGACAGCTGAAATATGTCGTGTTATAACTCAACAAATATTTCGTGTTATAACTTTACAAATATTGCGTGTACCACTGTCTAGTCACACCAAATAACGTGTCGGTGTGTTACAAAGTCAAGTTTGTAGAGATAATTTTCAGACACCCCTGTTATTCTGATATGCAACAAGGCAACATAATGAGAAGAAGATGAGTACATACCAATACAATCCTCGGCAGTGTCCGACCCTATTTCCAAGGTACCCAGTCCTGTTCCGCATGCTGTACATTCTGTTGCTTCATCAGCACTGTATGTGTCAAGGGCGCAAGAAGTACAAACTTGGGCATCTTCATCTGCCGTGTTAGCGTAGGTTCCTGCTGTGCACGAGGTACAGGTGTCGTCAGGGTTTTGGACCTGACCACTTGCACAACCTGTCTGCACAATGTATTCAGTCTCAGCATTTGCGAAATCTCCCGCGTCAAAACGCTTCTTACGACTGTGTCCCTCCTGAAATGAAATATTGTAAGACGTGCATTCAACAAACTGGCTCAAAATGAGTACTTATATTAGAATTGAGATAAATTCGAATTGAAACAAATTATCAAACGTGGATACCCTCGCGAATATGAAATACGACAACAGATTAGTAATATTAACATACCGATGGACCATTAAGCATCGCATGAAGTGGGTAAGAGTTGAGATAATCGACTGCTGTCTCCAGAATGAGCCTCTGTTTCATAACATGTTGCATGGATCTGGATGTCAATTTAACCGACAACACCGTGTTTGTCTCCGTAGCTTCACAAGACAGATCACTGATTATACACTCGTCAGCTAGTACACAGGGCAGGGATATGGAGAGTTTCTCTTTAAAGGTAGAGAGCACCTTCTCTTTAGAGTGCTGGTCCGCACAACCATTGAATTCAGGACCAAGTCTGAACCGTTGAAGTAGAGGCTTCGGAGACACATCTGCAAATATTGTAGACTGAATTTTTGTCAGAATGTCAGAAGAACATACAATTATGATCACAATGTTCTGGAGATTAAACCAAAGTAATTTGAAGCAGGTATCATGTTCTTACGGGCACATCTGATGGTCGGAGGAGATGTTTTGTCTTGGTGATAGTGGTCCCAGGTCCACCTTCCACTCAAATCATCATAGAAACACCTGTAGAGTTATTTTGTACTATACGAATGATTACAAGGACTTTAAAGATATTTTTAAAATACTGATTACGTTTGGAATGTGTCTGAAACGTTGGTGATATCTTATGAAACTTGGGATTCTGTCGTTCAGTAACTTGAGAATTTAATCACGGGAAACTCGGTAAATTAAACACGGCTTTAAGATTTTAAACTGACCTCATTTCTTTAAAGCGGTTATCAAAAAGAACGAATCCTTGTTCGTTGTCGCAGATCGTTCGTACAACAATTTTGTTTCCTTCACGTGATAATGACAATTTCCCTGCTTTTACATTGTGACCAAACCTGGGATACCCACAATTAATTAGCTTAATGATATTATTAAATAATTTTATTAAGCTAATTGTATCAAGCTTTCATTTTTTTCAGATACAATTATCCAAGTATCTGAACCTGTCATAATGGTTTATTTACAAAGCCGCAATAGATAAGTGAGCTGTGGTAAAGTCACAACTAACACTTTGAATTACCTGGGATGTAAAGCTATGGGGTCTGGGAGAACCTTGCATTTGCCGTAGGATTCAGAGGGTAATTCCTGGAGGTTGATAATGTTTGTAAATTTTAGTTTATTTTAACTGCGAGCCGCAATAAATAAATGTCTGCCAAAATAATGTCCGATAGCGTATACCGAACAAACATTACTTACAGTATTCACTGTGACGAACACAAGGAGGAAAATTAGCTCTGTCAATGATCGAACAGTCATCACTGCTAGAATAAAATGTTAATGATGATATATTAGTTTATATTACATCCTTAAGGTTAATAACAATTAAGTACTTTCACTTATATAGCAGCAATGACCAGTCCTTAGGAGCTGCTGTTGGTTGCGTGGCAGGTCTACAACGTGTGACAAGGTATAATTTAGTCCGATGATAAATGATAGGAATTGAAATTATTGCTAAAAGCTGTGTTACTTCATTTTGATGCACAAGGTTTATATGTGATATAGGCACCGTCAAACATCGGTAATAATAATATATTTGAAAGATAGCGCCACTAAGACAAATTGCATGAAGGAAGAAGAAATCCACAGTATTTTGAAATTAAGTTTAACAGATTATGCATCCAGTATCACCGGTAGCCTGTTTAACATAGGACCATGGCCCGGCCATGATTATATACCAACATGAACACGATGAACGAAATAAATAACGAATTTCCCTTTAACTTACCTTAGTTACAAAATAAGTTTATTAATTCGTTTAATATAAGGACAACGTTGTACCTACGATGTTTACTCGAAAAACAAAAACTTTACGCTGAAAAAGTTTCATGAACCATAAAGAACTTTACGACCTGCAAACAAACACCAAGTTTACTTTAAAAGTTAGTGCAGTAAAAATAAAATATTTTGTTAATGATGTTACACTTACACTACTTTTCTACACAAATATTTAGGTACGCAATTCACTACGCAGTCTGTGCAAACACAACAATCCAGCGATCAATTAATGTCCGTTCAAATAAGGTCCGATAAAGTAGGTTATTTGGCAGTGTACCAGCAGCAATATTCACTGTCATGTAATACTATAAACTTATTAGGGGACTCAGTTGTTCAATTAAGCGGTAATTGAACAACTGAACAGTGAGCTTAAAACTTAAGGTTATTAAAAAAAGGGTGCTTTTATAAAATGCACATATTGATATATGACGCAGATATGACGCGAACGCTATAGATATGACGACGTATTACGTCACGTAATGAAAGCAAGTGGTGAGTTTGTTTGCAGATCGTGGGGCTTCTCGTTTGGCACGGAGTCAAGTTTTAGATAAAAATAGAAATTATAACACTAAATAAACATTTATTGAACGCCTTATATACTGATAGTTGGATAGAGACAAGGACAAATAAAACAGGAAGTTAATATTAAGATATTAACTATCAGTATATCAATCACGAGACTAATAAACAGCGAAGTACTCCATCATTTGATATGCCTTATATAATATACCTTACAAGACATTTTTGTGGCGGACCAATGTGCGACGACCGAAATTTTGGCGGTCCGAAAATATGGCGAAATTGAACAAAAACCGTCACATTTCGGACGTCACAGAAAATAAGGGTATTTTTCATCATTTTGTTTTCTGACACAAAGGAAATTCAAAATTTTCTAAAAATCGGTAAAATCATGTTGAAACAAAATGAAACTTATAAATCGATTTCTTCATCTTCCTCTAAGGGGTCCGGCTCGAATCTTTCAGTTTCACTTATTGAGTTTGGTATTAAATTGTTTATCTTGACTTAGTCTATAAGACGTTTATGTTAGCACATAAATGTAATTTATTGTAAATTTAAAACGTACAACTTGACATTAAATTCATCATGGAATATTGTGTTTATTTGTCCCACCATCATATCACTAACTTTTCAAGAACAAAATGAATCGATGAAGCCACAATTATTGGAATAAGCTAAAAATAATGCGACGGATTCTATTACGACGACCGAAATTTTGGCGGTCCGAAAATATGGCGAAATTTCGGGAAAACCGTCGCATTTCGTACGTTATAAAAATGTCTTGTAAGGTAATATAATATATATATTATCCGAGTTCATACATATTAAAGTATCAGAATATGTGATTTATTCCCATCGAGAATGCGAAAGTAGTAACTTTTGATTCTAAAGTTCCAGACTCTTAGACAAGATTGCTGGGGCGTTGACCAACCCGCAGGGAATTAGACAGGAGCACAAAGCTGAATAACTCCTGAATAGCTGCGACAGTTATTGTCAACACGTATTTTTGAAAGCATTTCTGACTAACAAACTATCGTATCATTTATGGACACGTTCATTGAAGTTTGAGGATATCGGTGAACAAACAAAAAATAGCGTTTTCGAAGATAGTGGCTTAATTGTAGCATTTATTAATCTAGCATGTTCAGAAGTTCTGAACATTAGCCACGGGACCCACGTCCCACACTCCCATATACACTGCTCAGAAAGAAAATGTATTGTTGTTAGGTACTATAATAGTAAAAATGTCACATTTTTGTGACTTCGGTAACTAATAACTATAGCTGCCCAATTTGCATTCCTTGAAAAGAGGGTACCGCGACAATTGACCCCCGAAAATTGACCCCCCGACAATTTACCCCCCGACAATTTACCCTTATGTAATTACACTGGGGTCAATTGTCGCGAAATCTAGGGTTTAGTACGACAATTGACCCCCCCCCCCCCCCCCCCCCCTCCGACAATTAACCCCCTATGTAATTACACCGGGGTCAATTGTCGCGACATCTAGGGTTTAGTACGACAATTGACCCCCCGACAATTGTCGGGGGGTCAATTGTCGCCCACCCCTTTTTACCACCTCTTATTTCGGGTAGAAGAGGTGTTATTTTACTCAGGAAATTTTTACTTGCTATCTCACTTATTTCCTGCATTTTTTTTCAGTTATGTACCTTGTACCGCTTGGTCAAAGCTTTGAATAATTGTCTGCAAGATGCAGACAACGTCATCTTGACGTCATCTTGACGTTACACCACTGTCACTGAACTATGGCCGCGTCACAATTAATTACAAACAGAGCTGCAATGTAGATACCTCAGCCCTAATGATTTGCGGTTGTTACTATTTTAAAATACGAATTATTATTTACTGATCTATAATTGTCCTGCTGTCCCGCATCATCTGAGTCATGTTATTGGATAATCCCGCCTCCTTTAAACAGTACAATGTACATGCCAACCAGTGTCTATAATTGAAAATAACAACAAAAAAATTAGAGAAGATTAGACAGGAGCATAAAGCTGATTCAATTGTCGGCGGGTCAATTGTCAGCCACCTTTTTTTACCACCTCTTATTTCCGGTAGAAGAGGTGTTATTTTACTCAGGAAATTTTCACTTGCTATCTCACTTATTTCCTGTATTTTTTTCGGTTCATTATTTAGAAACGCTGTACCTTGTACCGCTTGGTCAAAGCTTTGAGTAATTGTCTGCAAGATGCTGCAGCATCTTGACGTTACGCAACTGTCACTGAACTATGGCCGCGTCACAATTAATTACAAACAGAGCTGCAATGTAGATACCTCAGCCATAATGATTTGCGGCGGTTACTATTTTAAAACACAAAACCTTCAGGTTTTGGATATGTAATCTTAAGGAATTTATACAGGGTGGGCCAAAAGTCAGTGTGCAAACGTTGGGTCTTATACCTCCGCCGTGTTTTATATTTGAAAGCTGTTGCTTTGCAGATGGCATACTGTACTTACTGGTTCGAGGATTCCGTCGTCAAAATTTGAAAATTCTAATATTTTAGACCACGCCCATTCAATATTAAAACATCTATATTGTTTTCTCTGAACATGCTGAACGCCTAATTTTTTCAGAGACGGTAGATTATCAAATGTTGCATATGATCTAAAAACATGAGGCAAAACGGATTAGAAATGACGAAGTTATCAAGCATTTTGTGTATCTCATTAACAAAATTGACTGGGTGATTATGTGACACCGTGACACGACACCTTAATTGGGCACCCTTAACAATTCCCATAATGTTTAACGTGGTAGTTAACGGGGTCACCTTATCACGTGATTAAGTAAACCAATCACCTGATCGCACGTAATGAATAAACTCGTTATGCTTCATATCTCGGTCATCTGAGAAGCTACAGTTCTAATTCTTTCAGGACAAACGTAATTCGAATGGCCAAACACAATTCAATAACATTTAGCTTGATCCGACTATCCTAACTATCAAATAAATGTGAAAATGAACCTCCATTTGAAAAAAATGAACGCGAATATTTTTCGAGTTGACAAATTCCTCGAACCAGTGGTGGTACTAAGTCATACCAGAAGGAAGTATTTCGATTGGGCACTCAGTGACTGAGCTATTAAGGCCAACGTTTGCACACTGACTTTTGGCCCACCCTGTACAAAGAAATAAACATGCTCAACTTAAAAGTTTTATAGTTTGCCTGTGTGATAAACTCAAAGATTCTTTGTTTCCATTAGAAATATTACTTTCTACATTAGGTACCGTACCGGTACACTTTGGTGGGGAAGAAACAGCGTCGGAGGTAAGGCAGATCTTCCTCAACAGGGTAAATAATACGACGTACTATATAAATATTACCTACTTGTATGATGCAGAATTATTATATATTCACTACATGGTGGGTCAGAACTGATCATTAATCATTATGATTACACCTCTGGATATCCTCAATTTTCTAAAATCTCAAAAATGACAAGAGCTGGAGATTAAGTTCACAGATTCCACTCACACCATATCAGCGCTATTTCAGCTAGTTAGTTATGTCCAATTTTATTACAGCTATAAGTTTGGTTCCTCAAGCTGGAGAGCCATTTTAGGGCCTATAAAATAATTTCCACGGATATTTTGTGGAGGAGTCATTTTACTTTTAGGGCTTATAATTGTTGTGGACTGTGGAGATATAGTACGATTTAGTGAGTTATAAATCAAGAGGCTTGCATATAATGAACATATTGAGGTATTATGTCCAATTTAAGGTTAAGACTTGATCTAGACGAGTCATTTTAGGGCCCACGAAATAATTTCCGCCGGTATTTCGTCGACGTGAATATCCTGCACCTTTTGAACATCCTCGATATGCTTGAATCTCGAAAATGGCGAGCTGGAGGCCAGTCTTACAGGTTCTCATCAAACGAATCAAAGCAACTTTAGCTAGTGAGTTATGTCCAATTTAAGGTTAAGGCTGTATCTGGACTTGACGGATGT